CTGTCATGCCCCGATATTTCGAGACATGATTGATAATAAATAAGTTTAAGAAAAAGAAATGCAAGTTAAGGAAATCGGACAGCTTCGCTGTTTGGTCTTCAAAAATTCATTTCTATGAAAATACTTGTCGGAAAAATCTGGGAATTTAATTTAACATTTTAAACTGGGCATAGACATTGCTTACAAAATGATTTTGTAAAAGATTCGACAGATATTGAGTAATAACTAAAACGGTACAGTGCTGACAACAAAACTTATATGCAGCTGAAGAAACTTTAAAAAAATCCTAACGAAACCGATCTTCACCCGAAAAATATGAAACGCTGCAATAGTGAAATTTTATGAGTCTAGATTCAATTACAGTTTGAGTCGGTTCGATCCGAGAAGTAAAACTGAGGTTTTAAGATATAATACAAAATTCACGTAAAACTGTTTGGGCTTTAAAGAAAAATTCATAACTCACTCATTTGAAATCCAATTCAGCAAATTCTATATCAAACTGAAGCTAACCAGATAACCAATATGAAAATAAAATATCATAATTTTTTAATATCAAATTCACCATCAAACAGATACTAAGATCAATCTAATAATGCATATCCAACATAAAGTTACACTCAATATCCCAAATTTCATTCATACCCATAATAATAAAATCTAAAGTAAAGGAAATATATTCTCTACAAGCCAACATTTCAAAAATGAGTTCTCAACATCTAAAGGTAGAAATAAACGTAAACATGAAAATGTCATAAACGAAATACGTAAATCCACTCCAAAACACGTTCTAAATTCAATCATTCGTTTGATGCAACTTATCACTTGAAAAGAAGTAGGGGGTGAGAAAAAGCTCCGTAGGAATAATAATTTCAAAGATTTAATAAAGTAAATGATTATGCAACTCACAGTGCATGCTCAAACATGAATTACTTTATAGAAAACGGTTCCGAAAAATATTTAATCAGCAAGTCAAAAGCATTTCTTTCAAAGCTCACAGTTTAAACCAAATCATGTAATGTAAATAATAGTCCGTTATGGACACTACCCATTACCGCACATAGTCGGTCCCGTTATAGTTCCTCATGAACTCTGCCCGTGACCGCACACAGCCGGTCCCGTTATAGTCCGATCACCATGGACTCTGCCCTCTTTACGGGATGCTACCCTGAAAAGAAAAGTTACCTCATGCGCAGGTTTCCGGTCTTTCACCGCAGAGCTAGTCAAACCCGGCCATAATTCAATTTCACCACGTACACGTCCACAACCAGTTCGAACCATTTCACTTTATCAAAACATATCCCCAAAACCAACACATTGAAATATAGGCTTTCAGAAAAGATCGATTGGAGCGAGTAAGCAAACACCATAAACCACATATCCATTCACATATATTAAAAACTTTTAAATCAAAACCCTTACCTTGAGTTCGAAAAAACAACCTACGTAAAGAAATCACGTTGTTTCACCACATCTCACAGTATCACCTAAACACAGTAAAATAAGATGGGATTGCAACTCAATTTGATAAAACATCTAAATATTAACCCCTAACATGATCTACCTATAGAATAAATAAATATCATATTATATCATCTTCCCAGCATCTTGATCTCGTATATATCTTACATCTTGATCTCGTATATATCTTATTGAGTCCGAGTACAATTACTGTATTTCAATTGCTTATATTAAAAATGTGAAATGGCCCAATGATCATATGATATCAAACAAACAACGACACATACTGAACCACACACTCATAGCATAATTCCAACAGACAAATGCACATAATAGGCATAGTTAACTGTATAAAAGAATACCTCTATTAGATAAATCAAATTCATCATTTCATAGGAGAGTTGAATGATTTCAAAAGTTGATTTGTCGCGCACTTTTCTTCATTGTTTTCTCAACCATGAAAAGGGAAAATCGCCATCTTGTAGAAGGAGCGGAGGCATATGGTAACAAGTGATAACATAAGGTTAGGGTTTTTATTAAAACAAAACCGAGCAACTACTTCCTTCTTTTTCTCTTTATCGGTTCCACCGAAACTTTTCCTTAGTTTAGGGTTTCTTATCCCACTTAAGATATATTTAAATAAATCAGTAAATCCTATAATCCTATAATATTAAAATAAATAATACTAACCATTAAAAAGTGATAAAATAAAAAATTTAAATTTCACAATGATTATATTATCTCTCAACAATCTACACTGAAACCCTAATTCCAACAGAGATATCTTCTTCAAGATCATTTTCGACGATCTCTATGAGATTTTGGTGACAGAGACTTGAAGGCATATAAATAGCGCGATCAGGTGGTGTCGTTTGTGGGAAACAATCTGAGTTTAAGACGTTGAGTGAAGAATTGAGAAAGATAGTAGCGATAACCCTCCAGGATTTAGAACATAAATTTGAAACACCGGACCAAGGCGCAATCAATTAAGTAAGCTGAAAGTCTCATTGCGAGACAAACGGCGGTGGAAAGTCCTAGTGAGAGTGACTCTTCAACGACTACAATAACTGGAGGAACAAATAAAGGACATGGAAGCAAAGGAGGCCAAACTAACTAAATGATGACTTGGGAAGCAGCATTTGAAGGACGGGAAGAGCGAGAAGGCCCGACGACCTGCTATAATACGGGTGGAAAAATTCATCCCAGAAGCATGTCAAGGCTTTCTAGATAAAAATAAAGCGCCCCTCGCCCGACAGAGGTCGCAGATTTCGCGACCCAACAGGAACTCCTGGAAGAAAATGAGGGGCAGTTGACCGAGCAACGATAGTTGTTAAAGTAAAAGAACAGGTAGAGGATCCAAAAATGCAGAGAGAGAACAAACTCCAGCAAATTGAGAGAGACGAGCTCGCACGTAAAATCACGCAACAACATGCAATCTTGCGACAGATTAAAGTGCTTCAGCTGGTTGAGAGACAACAAATGGAGGAATGGGAACGCGAACTATACGCGGTTCAGAACTCTGAACGCATTGCTCACCAACCTTGGGTCATTTCCCCCATTAGTTAATGTTGGAATAGCCATATCATACCAAGAGGCCAGAGCAATTCGAAGAGGTAGGCGGCCAAGGCTCTGCGAACCAAACACCATCGAGTAAAGTGAGACCCCTTTGTGAGCCCCTAAACTTGGTTAAAACTGCAAACTCGTGGGGTATTCCTTTTACATAAAAAATAACATGGGATGAACTCCCCTCCTGTTTCAGAGAAGTACACTTAGAATATGATGGAACCGACGACCCAGCCGAGCATTTGCACCGATTCTGAAACCTAGTTTTACTACATCACTTCTCGGATGAGTTTAAGTGCCACGTATTCACAACCATGTTGGCCGGCCCAGCTCAGGCTGGGTTCAACAAGCTCCCCAGTGGTTCCATATCGTCATTTGGAGAGTTTAGTGACCTCTTGATCAGGCATTTCACTAGTTCGAAGAAATAACATAAGACAACAGTGTCATTGTTCTATTTGAAACAAAAATATGAAGCGCAGTTAAGATGTTATATTTAACAGTTCACCGGGGTTTTTGGAATGCCTCCAACACAAAGGGAGGTGCTCATCAACGCATTTGTGCATTTGTGTAGTACGGATTCTAAGGAGAAAGAAACTCGCTCTTAAGCCGGAGCTAAATCCACCGAAGCTAACCGAGAGGAAGAAATGTTAGTTTCGCTCGCAGGTTTCAAACTGCTTGACTAGATATAGATTGGAAAGATGCTCAGTCTCTAGGCTACTCAATCGACTTACCGACTCAAGTAACTACGAAGGAAAGGAGCTATGAAATTAAGGCATAAATAGCAGCAAGGGAACTGGTACCACCTGTCGAAGAAAGGGAGTTTCAAACCACCTGGCTTCTGTTTTGGGTAGAGCTTGCAAGGGAACTAATACCACTTATCGGAGAAAGGGAGTTTCAAACTAAGTATTTATTTAATCATTTTAAGATGTGTTCGTTCATCCTGTTTGCCTCCGACTCATCAAGCTCGATGTTCTCTCCTACAATAGCGCTAACACCCTCATCAAGATTTATTGGGACAAGCTCAGAACTGTCCACGGGGATCGAATGTTCACCGGGATGGGCAGGGGGGAAACAATAAGTCAGCAATTGAGATGCAATTTGAAAGGCGCTTTCCAAAGCTATTGGGCATCATCAATAGCTTCCCGAGAAAGGCCAAGTCCCTCCCGGCAGTAAGACTTTGCCATAGTCGAAGCATGCGCCATAAATAATTTCGACTTCCACAACAACTCGATGAGATCGGCACGCAGCTCGTCAAGGAGCAACTTCCCCTTATCCGACCTAACGAAACCCTCATCTCCGACTACCCTCCCCACATTAAAGGTCGTTGGAATCTGTTCGGTTAAATGCTCTCTCCAGCTCGGTGATCCGGGTATCCATCGAGTTTTGTTTTGCCAGCAGATTGGTGCATTTTTTCTCCGCCTTGCTTTTCTCATCGCCTCCAGCTCGGTATGGGCTGCCTTCAAGTTCTTAGCATCTGCTCGCAGCTTTCGACATTCAGCATTAGCTCAATCCATTGCCTGACTCAATTCTCGGACAATTTGTTAGGATCCGAAGCCGCGAAAACTGTGTATCCGTAAGGAGTATTTGGAATTAAAAAAAAAATAAAAAAAGTTATAATTTTTTTAGGGAGGAGGGAAACCAACGGTTGTATACCAGGGTCCCTGTTGACCAGGATATGCCCTTAGGATATGTATTACAATTTGTAAACATTTGCCCAGCTCTATTCAATCTAACATGTAAAGACGTGCACTGATTATTTAGAAAAGAAGATTGCATTCGAATGAAAGATATCTGAACTAACAATTTGAAATTCATACCTATAATATATAAATTCATTAGTGTATTCATTCGATAACTAATGTAAAATCTTTATATTAATTCGATTGCTACAATTATAATAATTGAACCAATTCGTCAGGAAAGGGACAATCATCAACCTTAGAAAAAAGAAAAGCCAAAAATAGCGGCAGAAAACAAAATACTCAAGCAGCAACAACACTTTGAATCAAAACTCGAGCAGTATGAAGTTCCACGAATAGTATATCATGAATGATTGAACTATTATCATCTAAACACCAGGAAATAAGTTGCGTATAAAACATTACGAATGTCATTACATGTTTATACTCTGGATCCGGAAAAATAATGTAACTCTATATATTCTTCAAGTTTATAACTAACTAGGCTAATAATCTTTAGCAAAATACAAATCAAGTATTTAGACGACTCTGTGGCTTTGATCCGGTATTAGCAACTCCGCGTAATCATCCACTGTAACCTATACAAATTATTAGTAAAATATTATTAACCAAGAAATAAATTGTAATATAATCTTATTATTATATATAAAAGAAAGAAACGCTAAGGCAACCCTAAAAAAACCCAAATGGTATTCTGTAATTATTTATTTTTAATATTTTTTGTCTACTAATTTTCTAACCTTCAAGAATCCTTCCAGTTTCAATCTCTTATTTTTCATCGATATATCTCAAATCTTAAGAGATAAAGATATAAATTCTATTTTGTTAAATTTTAACCTATTTATTGCGATTATAAATCTTAATATGTAAGATTTAAAAACTAATGTTATACAAAATATGAATAGTACTGCATTCTTAAATTTTACTATTCAAGTGTACTATATATTTTTTATTATGTATTAAATTGATAATTTTTTTTCACTTTTAAAATATTATTCCGTGCATCGCACGGGCAAAAATACTAGTAATAATAATAATGAATAAAATAGGCTGGCCTACCTCGTATCTGGTGCCACGATGGGTATACTCCACACACAAGTGTTTAACTTGTCCAGGACAAGGATCACAAAACCCCATAATTCCAGATTTTTTAACACCTTGGTGTAGCTGCACACACGCAAGCACGCACAACAAACAATATTGTCAATAACAACTTGTGCGTACAAGACACATAGACAATTATATTTTCATGAATACGGATGGTCATAAAAATATGTGTACAAGAAAGAAAGAAAGAAAGAAAGAACGAACCCAACCTTGAGTTGCCCAGAATCATTGACGAGAAAATTCAGAGGTACTGTGACATCAATAATCTGTGACGCCACTTCATCTTCTTCTTCTTCTTCTGTTTCTTGTTCCGACATATTATGCCGAGCTTTGATATTCCCGTAAATAGCCTTAACAATAACAAGTCCACCCATTTCTAGTTGCTTATTTCTTTTCCTATTCGCAACATTCTGCAATAGCTGTTGAGCTTTCTTAGCTGCTGTCCTTGCCTCTTTAACCTGCCCAAATAATATTCATAAATAGATTAAAATCAAGATTGTTAGGTTGAAGAAGCATATAATAAATTAATTACCTGGCCTCGAGTCTTTTCAAACTTGTCCAAACCCTTTTGCTTTTCCCGTCTACGATAATAGGGTTTAAACACAAAGTTCTGAAATGAAATAAAAATGGAATCAACAAGCACTCTACTCTATAAGCTCTTCTGTTTTACTAATACAATAATCTAAACAACTGATGAACAAGTCAATCCAAGTTCATTATTGTAAACAAAGCCAGTTAAAAGTATCAACAACTGAGATCGTATACCGTGACTATAACCATTCGATTCCACATCATTCAGATTAAGTTAACAAACACACGCAAAATGCTCCAAATTTAATATATATATAAATTACAACCACCCTTCTGAGGTATTGTCAAATTACGAAAAAAAACCCCTCATGTTTGGCTAATTACAACAACCCCTTCAACTATAAATCTTGTTACATGTCCACCCTTGCGGTGTCAAATTTAGTGGAATCTTCTAGATTATGTGGAATATTCTCAATTTCGTACCTATTTTATCCCATTCAACATCCACATTTTGAAGAAAGATGATTCATAAGATGTCTTTTTTGGCTTGTATATATCAGATTGTGGTGGATCTGAAACTGCATTTTTGCACAAAACGAGTACAAACTAGAGAACATTTCACGGAATATAGAAGATTATGTAGAATTTGACACCGTAAGGGTGGACGTGTAAGAAGATTCATTGTTGAAGGGGTAGTTGTAATTATCCAAACATGAGGGGTTTTTTCGTAATTAGACCATACCTCAGGGGTGGTTGTAATTTACCAATACACACACACACACACACACATATATATATATATATATAGAACTCAAATTCTCAACTAAGAAATCATTCAATAGACTGGAAACCGGACCTTGAGAGTAAAATAAAGAGATACTGGAATAATGAATGCCCCGGTTGCAAAAACTGGATTCAGATGATTGGACAACAATATCTGCAAGTCATAATACAAATATATCAATATACCGTGTTCACATGGTTGATAGAAAATTATTATACCATTAGTCGAAGTAGTGGTATAAGTTAAACTACACCCAATACACTATATTAGAGAGAGAAACAAAGAACAAAAAATATTTCAGTCAGCCACTAAAGAATTGTACCATGGATCGAGATTATATTGACTGACTCTATGAGACAACTCCTATCAACGGACGAATAAATTTGATACCAAGATATGGATTTCAAACATCAAAAAGATGATTAAGAATGCACTTACAGGAACAACCAACTTTTGCCCACCACGATGCAATTCAAATTTCCAAATCAGTCCCTATAATTACAAGTTCAAGAGTGAGTGATATAACATGAAAAATGCTATATATATATATATATATATATATACACACATACATACATATAAAAGAAAAAAAGAAAAAAAAGATTATTTAAGATTGGAAATGGGCCATAAATAAATTGATTAATTTACGAAATGCAATTTGAAAGACAAAAGCAAAACTTGCGATCTTTAGAGTGAACTTCATGAGAATTGGTCAATGGTTTGGTCAATGGTGTGACAATTTGCAGATATACAATGAAGTATCAAAACAGTAGCCGCGGCCAAAACTCCATACCTGAATTCCAATGGAATATAACATTCGAACAGTGCTGGATTTTGATACTTTTCTTCCACCCCCAATTTCAAGTGCAAGTGCACCACTGCAAAAACGTAGAGCATGTCACAAGTCTCGCCTACATGCCAGATTTTGAAGTATTATTGCATCTAAGACTACACATATTCGAAAATTTCAATCCGGTTTATTTCAGATAGATATAAGTTTTAGGCGTTATCCATAGAGTGAGACTTCCCTTTTCATCTCTTAAATATTCAAACATTTCTACACGTATAATACGCCCAACACCTCTTCGTAGATTTCCCTGTTAGTTTCAATGGTATATTAACTTATTTTCTTACAACATTTTTCTACTAAATTACACATCTAATCTAGCAACAAAGTACTCCGCACAGTGAATCTTCATACATAATGTCGACTGTAAGTCAATCCAACAACCATAATAACTTTACATTGATTAAGCACAAAACGGCAGTAGATTAATAAGCTAGCATAATTTCTATTCCTCAACTTTGCTTCAGATAAACACTTATCAAATTAATTTATTTAGGCGTACTGCTGAGTTGTTAATATTGCATCGATGCATGTATGACCATAAATCTTTCTGAAATATTTAATTGATAAAGTTGTATTAAACAATAGAGGCATCTGAACAAAAAAGCTGATCCTGACTCGATAATGTTTATATATCATATGGTAAAAAAATGGAGAAAAATTAAAAATACACACCTTCCAACTGTGCCGGCAATTCGTCCATGTGATTTAGCGGAAAAGAAATGAGTGTAGTGAGCAGTTGCACCAAACGAGCTTGTCCCAATCTACAACAGTAAGACAATTAGAATGGAATTCGTTTCTGTTTCTCATTCATAAAACAAAAATATGACGTGTCTGAAACGACATCGGAGCACATTTAATTAGGGGTTTTCTTTTTTGCATAAGATTCGAGTATCTAGACATGTGCTGTTACACGATTTTCCATCGAAGTTATGATGACTAACTAGTCTTGTAGTACATTTTGCATAACAGAGTAAAAAAATTAAAATTAAAAATTAAATTGTATTTGTAGAATTCATGCACAGATTGCTCAAGCCGTAGAGTAATAATTTAACAACTCTGTCAAACAGTTTTAAATAATAATCTCAAGAGATAATGCACGTTGACCAGCATGCATAGCAGACACTAGACTTTATTGCAAGCAGAAAGATAGATCAGAATTTCGGAGTTTCTAAAAAAAATTAATCGAGCCATTTTTATTAAATGAAAAATATAAAAATGAGAAACGAAATGCAAACGTTGAAACAACATACAATTTAAAAGGGACGTTTCTGCGAAAAATTTGCAATACATAAGTGAAAAGATAAATAAGATAAAGTGAAGTAAAGAAGGCTGCTACCTTAATCCCTCCCGAAGCAGACATATTTTCGTCTTTCTTTCTCCAGCCAACACCTATAGATGATTCTACACCTAAAGAGAGATGTATCTGAAAGACGACCAGAAGAAAAGCGAAAGAGACGTTATATTTAATATGAGGAATTCACTGCATTTGATTCGGTCCTCACGTCAAACAAAAATGATGTAATAAGCATAGAAAGATAGTAATTAATTACAATAAATAAGAAGGAAAGAACAAGTTTTTTTTCTAATGCAGAAAAGCTTACGTTTCCATTTGTTGTCTCCGAGAGTTGACGGCTCCAAGTGTTTGATAGATTAATCGAGCCATCTCTCAAAGACATGGTAATCCCCATTATTGCAGTAGAGTGAACCGACAATTGTCTTGAAAGTGGAACACAAAAACAGGTGTGCGTGTGTGTGTAAGTTTAATTGAATAAAAAATTGAATTTGAAATCATTTGATAGAAAGATGGTAACTACCGAGAAGATTGCATTCCTAATAACGACTGCAAACCAATAGAGCCCATAAATTCAACAGAAGAAACCGGGGACAAATTATGCCTAAGGATAGCAGTCGTTGCACCACCACCGGCATTTGAGTTCACCGCCAAATTCCCACCGATAGCCAGAGAAGTGTGCTTCGATATTTGAGTTTGAACTTCACTCGCCATAACCATCCTAAATTAATTGATTAATAATATCTTTGTCAAATAAAACTAAAACCGTACGACGGAAAAAAAAAATGATTTATTTAGTGAGCTTGAGCTTTAATTATTATTACCCTCTCATAATGCCGTCACCATCTACAAAATCAGGCCACGACAAATTTGCCAAAATCGAACCAGAAGGTTGGAAATGCGCTGCAACTTTTTCTTGTTCCATCTGACGCTTCAATCTCTCGAGTTCTTCCTTTATCTCTTCAACTTTGTTCAATTTGGGGCCGAGTTCCAGACCGGAATTTAGTCCCTCCATACCATAAATATCGTATATCATTCTCTTTTTTTCATCTGTTAAAATTTCATAAGCTTCACATACTCGTTGAAAGTTCTCTGTAGCGATCTCCTTCATCTGAGCAGCAGCGTTCAAGAAAGAGGATCATATTAGCGATTTCCTTTATATGAAACTGAAACACGACATGTAGTATAAGAAAATATATATATATATATGATAGAATATGCATTTGTTGAAAATAGTTGTTTTGCAGTTTCTAATACAGGATCTCGACTTTTAAACAATAAACAAATATATAAAACTCATGAATGCTTAAGCATGATTTAAACCCATGTAGCAGAACATTTGTTTCCTAATAGGTTTAAACAAGTAGTTATAGTTTCGGTCAAGGAAAAGGATAGATTTTGAATGGAAAAGCACGAAGCAAATATCTTTGATTGAAAACACAATGTCAATAAAACTAAATTCCTAACTTCAGAGTCGTAAAAATTGATTACTGAACCATAGTATCAAAAGCCACATATAATCCAATGGCTCAGCGAAATAAAATTGATTATTCGCTGAGCTCAGCATCGCAAAAACAATGTAAACCTATATACTATAATCCACTTTTGTTTTCAAAATCTAATGTAGAAACTAAATAGAGGTTATATTAAGTAGATTCAGCACCATTCATATATACATGAAAAAAAATATATAAATCCAATTCCCCCTCCGACCCTCAATCCGAATTAAATTAAAAGGCGAAACGAAAATATACTCCAAAAAAATCAATTTTACCAAACGGAAAGCATAGATAAACAGAATTAGAACAAAAAAATAAAAAACAGATAAAAATTATTTAGAAAAAAAATTAAACAAGGGAGTAAGGGTTTAGTACTTGTGGAGATTGGCATTTATCAGGATGATAAACTTGAGCCCATTGGCGATAAGCCCTTCTGATTTCTTCATCAGAAGCTTCGGGCGATATGTGCAGCAAAGCATAGAGTTCTTTGTTGTTGGGTTCTCCATTTTTTTCATTCATCTGCTCGCTCCTCTGTCACGATTAATTCCGAAAAAGGGGTTTTGGGGGTTTAAGCAGAAACAGAAGAAATTCAATTAAATAAAAACAACCAAAAAAAAAAAAAAAAGTCAAGTAAGAAGAAGTCTACGGATATTCAATGTTGCTTGTTTCAGAGAGGGGCCGACGATTCTTCGTATGTGAAACGCAGTTCTTTTACCTTTCGTGGGCGTGGGGCAATTTCAATTAAGATTGTTTTGTTTTTTTTTTTTTTATTATTCGATATTTTTTGTTTAATAATGCATTAAACCCCCAGTTATCATTTATTTTGTTGGGTAATTTGGATTAGACTTCAAACCAGCTATTACTTGGACATCAGCCCTTCTTTTTCTTTTTTTTTTTTCTTTTTTTTTATTTCAATAAACCCCTTCCCCAAAGTATCCTCTCAAGCTTCATTCGAAATAATTCTAAGAAAAAACCCATTTTAGGCTTCTCTTTTTTTTTTATTATGTATATATTAATTTTTATTTTATTTTTGTATATTTTACTTTTTTTATTGTATATTTTACTTTTTTCTGTTTGTTTTTTATTTTAAATTATTTTATCTGACTCTGATCAATTGACTTTGAACTTCCGATCAATTGACTTCCCACTTCCGATCAGCTAACTACTGACTTGCAATTTTTTATAGGTGCGGGTTGCCGGAGCTTTGATCAACTATCTTCTGGCTTACGATGAACTGACTTCCCACTTACGGGCAACTACTTTTCGTCAAGTCAACTAAATCACGTTAACTTAATCAGGTTAACTAGTTGAAGTCAACTGACCAGAGATCAGCAGATCGCTCACGATTAATTAATAACTTCCAATTAGTTAACTTGATATAGTTAGCTGATGTTTAAAAAAATGGACGTTGGAGCTCTGGTTAGTTAACTTTCAACTATTTAACTTCTAACTAGTTACCTTCATTAAGTTGACTTTATTAGTTGGTTGACTTTCTAATGGCGGACCGCACCGGAGTTCGAATCAATGATCGGATGACTTTCAATCAGATGACTTTCAATCAGATGACTTCAGTTAGTTTACATGATTAAGCTAACTTGATTTAGTTGAGTTGATGAATGTTAGTTAATCGGAATTAGGAAAGCACCTGATAGTAAGTCAGAAGTTGGAAGTCAACAAATTGGCGCTACGGGAACTCGCGACGAAAAAAAAATCACAAGTCAAATGATAGTTGATCGAAAGTCACAAGTGATATCGTCTCCTCTCCCTTGTCTCATGTCCTCTCCTCTACTCTCTCCCACATCTTCTCTCTTCTATTCTCTACTCTTCTCTCTCGTTTCTTCTCTCTTCACCTCTCCTCTTTTTGTGTCTCTCTTTTCTCTTCCTCTTGCATCATCTCTTGGTTCACTTGCATTCTGTTAGAGTAGGTGACCAACAAGCCAACTTGTGGTTGTGTTCTTTTCATTTAGTCTTGTAATAAATAATCTTTTTTCGTATTAATGATAAAACACTTTGGCATTCTATATCTTTGTCCCTTGTACAAACATAGATATAGTCCTTACAGTTATTACAATTACCTATAATTGTTCTATTAGGATCGTGAGATATTTAATCAAGTATTATAATTGTTAAACCGTGTTCCTAGTCGAAGGGTTACGCCACCAATGAGGATATCGGCATTTCCCATTAAGGGACTAGCACTTAGTGTATGTGTACTGCGTCTCATCAGTAAACGCTATTGTCATATCGGCATGCATAAGTGGGTGATCGTAAGTTAACGAGTTCACTGAACTCCATCATCCTATAAATCTCTAAGTGGTTCCCAATAATCGAGTAGAGATCTCTATGATATAGTTGTACACCATTAGTCCTTAAGACCTAGACGTCACCGTGACTTCACTAGAGCACCAACTGTATTGTGACCAGTCCCGGAGTTCCACCGAAAACCACCCCAAGGGCCAGTGTTCGTGCAGTCCGAAAACTAGTGGGAGGTCTGTGCATTGTAGACGGGGATTCGGTCGCTAGAATAGTATTGGATGTCCTGTGTTTTCTCATAATTTGTAATCTTTAAGTCTCTAGCCACAGCTAACTAAGTAATGATTAGAGAATTTGATTCTCTAAGTCATGCACGTAACGATTACTACACTTAGAACGATTGCACGGTTATTGAACTACAAAGGAGGTCTCGATGAACCAATGCCTCTAGTTCAATCGGGACATATGAATCGATGGGATCGTACTATACGTTAACTATATCACACGGTTCTTGCAGACAGTTCATTTGTATCTAGGGAATCATGATGCGTAGTTGTTAGACGCCAATCTTGATTTGTTGGGTGATTAAGTTGAAACGATCTTCATCATAACTCTAGGGACGAGTTTAAACCACAAAGAGTTGTGGACCCACAGCTAGCTTACACCTGAACCATCGAAGGCCACACTGCTCGTGCACTCGAGTTCTTTGAATAAGCGGTCAAAGATAAAAATGTTTAATCTTTGCATAATTGGAAATCAATACGATTGAGTCCAACATTAGTAATTAGGAATTATGAATGAGAATAAGAAAATGAAAGAACTAGGCGAACATCTTAGTGAACTTTCTAAATTGGGATGTTTCCAAAATTAGCAAGTCCACTGAATTAGGGCTTCCAGTTTTAGAAATTGGAAATCGAGAATTGGCATTTGTGATTACGAGGACATTTCAATGATTCCAAAAATATAATTGTTATAATTTTACAATCATTGAGTTATGAGAAACGAGCGAAAAAAGACTAACAAACTTAAACTGTTGGGCCCGGTCCAACTTAAGCCCGTTAGAGCTTTTATACAAGACACTATAAATACAAGATTTACAGGTCTTGTTAAAACACACAAGACACAATAAACCCTAGCCGCTCACGCTCACGTCCACTGCCATCTCCACTGTGACACCCCTTTTCTAATTACACTTACTAAGTAATTTAGAATATGTTAACGGGAGACTAATAGAAAATAATAAGTGTGGAATGCTCGTTTTAAAAATCACCTTCTACAAATAAAAAGTTACGCATAAATTTTTCTTTTAAAATCAGAGGAAGAGTGTCCACATATTACCATATCATATACACTTAACCAAGTATCACAAAAGAGGCATGCATGACTAGATTATTTAAAGGGGTCTTAGGATATAGGTCCCTGGTGACAAAACTTATTAGAACTAAATGACAAGTCTAACTAAACATTTGCTTCACATCCTTCATAAATTTTATTCCAAAAATGCCCTCCGCACACAAAATATGAAATTTGCATCAAGTAACATTTAAACTGCGTTTATCATTTTTTATTATTCATTTAACATTTTCATTTTGCATCGAACATTTTTTTTTACGTACAACACATTTACTCTTTTTTTTTATTCATTTTCGTATTTTTTTCAGTATTTAAGAATCTATTTTTTTCCATTATTTTATACGTGATATTGAAAATTATGAATTTAAAAAAAAAATCGGTCTCAGTAATGTATAGACATCCATAGGAAACTATAGAAAACTGTAGAAATCAGTAGTAATCTGTAGTAATCCATAAACATCTATGATAGCATATTCTTGAAACCCTAGTTTCTCCTTTTAACCCTAGCCGCCAGACACCATAGTAACCCATAGACATCAAATCGATTTTTTTTTGGATTCATCCCACCAAACCCTAGATCCACCCACCAAATCCTAGATTCGTGACGCCGAAGGCCACCCACCCCCATCCACGCCTCTAAGGATACCACCACTCCACCCACTCTGCCATCACCTATCCGCGCATCACCGCACCAGCAACACCATTCTCGAACTCCGAGCGCCGCCGCTGGGCCAGCGTCACTCTCGAAGCCGCCTCCGCTACGCATTCCATTGCCGCTTCAGATCCACCGCCTCCACCATAGATCCGACGCGCCACCGCTACCCACTTCGTCGGCGCCTTCACCATAGATTCACCGCAGCCGCCGCCTTAATATTCAGATCTGCCCACTCCGCCGCCGCTTCTCGTCCGCCGCCACCCCCGTTTGCTTCTCCAATCAAAAAACTAGTTCAGAGGGATAGAGAAAGGGAGAGAAAAAGAGAAAAAAAGAAAAAAAAATGAGAGCCAAAGAGAGAAAGAAAGAAAACGATGGAGAGAGAGGGAGAGAAAAGGAGAGAAATGAAGAGACGGGAGAGGGAGGGGATAGAGAGAGAATGAGGGGAGAAGAAATAGAAATAAATTTAATTAAAAAAAAAAGTGAATGAATATGTAGATTAAAATATTTAGGTTATAAGGGTAATTTAGGGATAAAAATTTAATTAAGGATGTATACCATATATTGTTTCAAATTAAGGATTTAATTAAAAGATTGGATTTTAATTTTTTATTTAGTTCAAATTAAGTTTCATTTGAGGGGCTCTTAGCATATTACCCCTTATTTAAATTATCAAGAGTAAAGATTAGGAATTTCAGACAGATTAGGTAGATCAACTTAGAAAATTAATTTCTCTTAAACACTTCATGAAAAGACCTTGAAATGGTAACAAAATACTCTCATATGGGTCTAAATTACTTTGTTGAAATATTTTTAAAATAATATAAGCTATTTGAGAGAAATAATTAAAGACATGCAACTGAGAGTTTGAAAATCCAGAACAGTGGAGGGAGCTTTAAAAATTCAATATAAATTTCCTATTATTCTAAACACTACCAAATGTTATACCAAAACAGAAAATTGAGTTAGGAACATACTCCAATTTAAATAGATTTATTTGAGTTAGCAAAACTTCCCATATTGATGCATGTTCTAAAATGACTCTGCATGTGTATAGTTATGGAAAATAATTCATAATAAATTCATGGACTATCCAAATGATGCAAAAGACCTACCAAAATGACCGTCACAGAAAGACCTATTACACCGTAAAATTAAAATCAATTCTAAACAGAGAGTATATATAATACGCATTATCAAACAACAGGGCAGAACACAACATAAAACTACCCGATAAACATTATATAGAAGTTTGGCAAAAGAGGAAATAATAATCCTAATTATCATTAAATTCAATGTTCTTGCTAATAAGAACCCTCGAGGGGTGGAAGAGTACGATAATAGATACCTAAGACGGTATCGAAAGTCTATAAAATTAAACAATATACACATAGCTAGATTAAGAGCACATATGATCCACACGCCTTCCATATGAACACATCCCTCGAACCTCGAACCCGACTCCAACTTTACGAC